CAATAATATCATATTATAATTTACATTAAAATAATTTAAAAATATCAGAAAACACTTCTATAATATATAATTAAAAAAATTAATTTCTCATATAAAGTGAAATTGGTATCACATCAAAGTATCAAACATTATTAATTCGCTTTACTCATCCAAAATTATCACAACCTAACTAACTACAATATTATGTACTGAAACTGAAATTATTGGTTTATATTTTATAATTATTTTGCTATACAAATAAGAAAAAATCTAAAATGTCTTGTAACATCATCTAATTTAAAAAATATTATTATATTAAACAAATTTAATTAGAAGCAAATAAGAACAAATCTATAATGTCTTGTAACATCATCTAATTTAAAAAATATTATTATATTAAACAAATTTAAAAATTCTTATTTATAACTATAAGACAATAATATATTACATAATTTATAATGAAAGTAAATTAATAAATAAAATACAAAATTTGGTCATCACTGTATAATTATAAATTATAATAGGCATTTTTTGTTATCACTAAAATTTTCTATAATTAATATTTTTTAAGTTTCAAAAAAAATTAGAGGTGTTACATTATGTACTTTCATTTTTTCCAAAAGGTATGTAACTACAGAGACGTTTCCCTGTTTGGATGTCTCTATAATTATGAATTAATTATAATTTAATACTATAATATTTTCATAAAATGATTTAATTTTTTTAAAAAAATTTCATTTTATATGATTTTAAAAAATATTACCCGTTATATATTGAAATTAGTATCACATTAAATATTTATTATTTATTTTTGCTCATCCAAAATTGTAACAACCTAACTAGCTAGAATATTATACATTGAAATTAAAATTATTAGTTTATATTTTACTATACAAATTAGAATGAATTTAAATTTTTCTTATAGTATCATCTAATTTAAAAAACTTTATTTACAACTATAGAAAATAATAATACATATATAACGTATAGTACAAATAAATTAATAAATATGAAACAACATTGTTAATACTTAATAGAGTAGGAGTTTGGAGAGAGAGAGAGGGAGAGAGAGAGAGAGAGCGAAGGAGTGAGAAGAGACTTACCGTTTTTTTTTTAGGTT